CCCCCACTCTCTCTGTTTCTCTCTCCCTCTCCTCCTCCCCCTCTCTCTCTCTCACTCTCTCAACACGTTTTTATCCTCCCCCAGGATCATTCCTGCTCCCCTACATCATTATCATGGTGGCCTGCGGTTTCCCTCTCTACTTCATGGATATAGCTCTGGGACAGTTCTCCTCCGAGGGACCCATCACTGTCTGGAAGATGGCGCCTCTCTTTACAGGTTTGGTGAAAATGGTGAAATGGTATTGGTTTAACGCCCCTTTCAACATGATTATGTTATTTAAGAGGCGGGACCTCCGAGTTTATCGTCCATCTACGAAAGGACGGAGCCAAAAGGGAAACTAGTGCAAAGTGCATTTCCCAAAGAACACAACGTCGGACCTAGCTGAGGCTCACAATTACGAATCCGCTAGCCTGTTACTGGGTACCCATTGCTGATGGGGTCGGGTCGGGTCGGGTCGGAATGACCGCCCGACTCGTCGTCTGAAAACATAATTGTTTGTTTTTGAGGCGCCGAGTCGGGCTCGATCTGCTTGTACCACGACAGCCGCTTTGCGCCCTCAATTCGGTTAGCAAACCGACCCGACCCGACCCGACCCGATCCCCCAATGGGCATCCTGTATAAGAACTACCCTACGGTGCCCCTATTTACAGGTTTGTAACTGTGCTATTCCACGGTAACTGACGGGACAAGAGATATTTTTTCTGTCCCCTCAGTTACCGAAACTAAACACGTCACAGAATTTGCCAAAAGCACTTTTTAAACAATGACTGCATTTAATAAAATTCTGAACCTGTTTGTCAAATGTTCTAATCATTTAAACTTGTAATGCTTTAGTTGCTTCTGAATTACAGTGTTATCATTGAAAGAAAGTATAGTCTAAATGGAATAGCCCTATGTGTAACGTGTGCTCACTCTACACTAGGAGTCTCAAACTCACTGCCTGCAGGCAAATTGTAGCACGCGAATCAAATTGAGAACCGCAGGACGATAATAATATAATATTTTGGCCCTTATTTGGCATTAAAGTTAAGTATTAGCTTAAGTGTTAAGTGTTTGCCTGGTATATCGTCTAGATGTGGATTATTAGGGATTTTGTACTTTACACTACTAAACAGTAGAAATGTACCCGAAATGGGATTAAAATTAAGTAAAACAGAAAATGTTGATGGTGGCATAAAGCAATATCATATTCAGTGCTCTCCCCTCACCCCAAAACCCACAATTTAACAAACGCACAAACACACAAACAAACAAACAAACAACAAAAAGGAAATATATCGTAAGTAAGTTGATCAGATGTACTAAACCCACTATTTGGAATCCCTTTTCAATTGCAGATTCTTCATTTGTGGTGTCGGTGGCATGTGTTCCCGACATATTTTGTTGAAATTCAACTTCTTGAATTTTGATTCTCTAAAAAGAAAAATATCCTTAGTATCAGTACAATATCTAGCAAAATGAAACAGTATTTTCTCTCCCCTGAAACAGAAAAAGCTTTGAAGTCTTGCAACAGATAAACAGCCCTCCAATGGCATAATAAAATAAAAAGATAACAGTTAATAAGACGAAACGCGAACAACAAAAACAGAACAATACCCCCCCTAAAAAACAACAAAATAGACAAAACCAACAAAAATAAACAATAACACTACAACCCCTTCCAAAAATAACAGCAGCAACAACAACAACAACAACAAATACAATAACAAAAGACAAAAACAAACGAACTCACAAAAACGTAACTGTCACCACAGGCATCGGCTACGCAGTGGTGATCACCAACATGTTCGTGTGCCTGTACTACAACGTGCTCATCGCCTACGCTATCTACTACGCCATGGTCTCCTTTGTCAATCTGGACGACGATCTGCCCTGGCAGACATGTGGCAACTGGTGGAACACAGAGAACTGTACGGCACAGAGGTCAGTGGGCGGATAGATAGATAGATAGATAGATAGATAGATAGATAGATAGATAGATAGATAGATAGAAAGATAGATAGATAGATAGATAGATAGATAGATGAACAGACAGACAGGCAGATAGATAGAAAGACATACAGACAGACAGACATATAGATAGATAGATAGATAGATAGATAGATAGATAGATAGATAGATAGATAGATAGATAGATAGATAGAAAGATAGGTTGATAGATAGATAGATGGATAAATAGATGCATAAACAGATAAATATATAAGTAGATAGATAGAAAGAAAGATTGATAGATAGATAGATAGATTAATTGATAAGACTCACGATATGTAGTCAGATATACAATAATCTCTCTAGACAGACCTGGTCATTCTTAACAAACACTTCCTTTATTTCAGATATCATCACGCTGGCCCAGCTACACCAATACAGAATCAGACAGTGGAATATATAATGGAATCGATTATTAGTACGTAAATCATTTACCGGTTTTCATTTTCCTCAAAACAAACGAAGATTACAGGAGACAAAAGGGTGTTCTTTAAGCTGTAGTCTTTTTTAAAAATCCAAATCCTCAATTTGCTGCACAGCGATTACTTAAAAAGATTTTTTAAACTGTCCAAAGTAGCCACCAAAGAAATATTTCAACAGAACAAGAAATAAAAACCGTTAAGATTTCTCTCCTTTTCTGGTGAAAAAAGTGGTAGTCTCCAGGAAAATGTGACATTAGAAGTCCCGCCCCCCCCCCGCCCCCTCCCTATAATCTTCAGATATTATTCCTGGATTCTGTTTGTCGTTGCTAGCTGCTTCTTTTTTTTAATCATAATATTACAGAAGGAACGTTGTAAAGAGAACGAAACATGTCAGAAGTATACGCATAACTACCATTGTTGTAACATTGTCATGTAAATATTTTAGTGAAAATCTTGGGACATTTTTTTCAACAATTGGATGAAAGTAATACGAATGAAGCAGGCCTATGTATTCCCTTGTAGGTTTCCTCCGGAGAGTTCGCCACCACGACCACCTTCCCCTCCTCCTCCTCGAAGCACCTCCTCCTCCTCCTCCTCCTCCTCCTCCTCCTCCTCCTTCTCCTCCCTCTTTTCCGCCTCTTCCTTGTCCTCCTAGTCCCAATAATAATAATAATAATCATCATCATCATCAGTAAAAACAAGAACAAAACCATCACCACCACTATTGCCACGAGTAGCAACAGCGGCAATAACAACAACACCACAGTAACATGACTACACCACCGCCCTCCCCACACACCGATCTTCCTACTGCTATGAAAACGTGTTTCCATGGTTTTTGTCTTCAGAGTGTATGCAAAATAAGGCAGACTCGTTCAACTATACGGACGAACAAATTTCGACATTTAACAGCACATCACTTGCCTTAAACCGATTCCAGGAACTGAGAGAATTCTGCATGAGCGATTTGTAAGTTTTTCATGTTTTCAAGATAATATAATAATATAAATATAATGAGATAAAACGAAATTTCATTTATATCGATCAAGTATTGAAATTGTTTTCTAAATGGCACAATAATTATATAATGTGGATACGTACGTTCGTAATATGATGATGATCTTGTTGTTATTGTTGATGTCGTTGTTGTTGTTGTTGTTGATGATGATGATGTTGTTGTAGTTTGTCCATCAAGACAACGAAGACAGTCTTGTTAGCGCGCCGACATTATCTTACGTAGTTTGGAGGGCTGTAAAACTTTTACCGAAACAAACCTAACACTCTATTCATCCTGAGGTCGAGGGTGAGTGAGCACATGGCTGATCTTGCTATTCTTTGCCCTGTCACTGACAGTATCAGATCTTTAATTTTCGTTAGGAATGCTATAGGCCGTATTAGACTTCTCGGTCAAGTTTGATTAAACAAAATAACAGCCAGTTTGAAATAGCTCTGCTATAAATCGATCAGACCCTATTCGACTGGTTCATGCAGGTTGGGACCATTTGACCAATGCCCAATAGCTATACATCTCGATCCTGTACCGCACTCTGTGTAATAGGATTATAAGCACGTTGGTGAGGCATCTTTTAATTTCTTTTTTCCCTTTCTTTCAAAGTCTTTATTGTTGTTACTCTTATCTCTTAGACCAGCTGACCAGCTTGTATTATGTGTGTGCGTGCGTGGGTGTATGTGTGTGTTTGCGTATCCGTGTGTGTGTGTGTGTGTGTGTGTGTGTGTTTGTGTGTGTGTGTGTGTGTGTGTGTGTGTGTGTGTGTGTGTGAGAGAGTGAATGAGTTCGAATGTGAGCAAATGGCACCAGGCATTAGTGAAAAATCAAATAGAAAATGTGTACATATGAATGTAAAGCGTTCTGTATGCCTATGTTCACAGGATGACAGAGCGCAACGTCAGTAGTATGGCAAACATAACGTCTCCTGCAGAAGAGTATTTCATGTAAGTGCACAGGAACTACTATTCCAAACACACATGGGATTAAACAATTGCACATTGCCGCCATCGTGATAAGATTAGATAAATAGCTACAAAATTTCCGATTTAACTTTCTTCGTGAAACGTATTCAAAAAAGCATTTTTAATGGTATACTGGTTAAAATTGTATATTCAAATAAACAACCTAAAGTGGACTTTGTAACGGTATGACATTCGGATAACCCCCACCGGTCCTTTTCATGAATCGGGTTTTTTTTTCCTTATCCCAAAATATTTGCCCTATGTCACTTATTCGATTTTTTTATCATGACGGTGACGATATGTTTTACGTCCCTGTTGACACGATTTAGATAGTTTACGAGGTAGCAGCTTCTCCATCAAGACTGTCAGAGCCCACCCAGGCTGAGTGGGGTACAACATTTCAGAGGGCAGATGGAGATGCTCAATTAAATAATTTTCCGACGCAGGATTCGAACCTACATCTTCCACGTATAATGGTAAAAAGTCTTACTGTTACGCCAGTGAAGGTTACAGACAAACCATAACTTTGTAAGATAATATCAGATACCGCGAGATTCTGCACTGGCACATTGCTTTAGTGTTTCACGACACACGCACACATATAAACACACACACACACACATACTCACACACTTACACCCTCTTACACACACGCCACACACACAAACAAACACACACACAGACGGACACACACACACACACATACACACACACACACACACAGACACACACACACCAATACACACGTGTACTCATATTCCAGGTTAACATCCTTGGCTGAAGCTCACCCCTTAAATGACCTAGATTATATTGACTGGGGCGTAAAGACACCTACATAAAACAAAAACAAAAACAAAACAAAAACAACCAACCCTCCCCTTCCCAAAAACCCATAGAAACAAAAGTTAAACATTCTAAAAATATCACAAAAAACACACTCTCTCTCCACCAGTAACCTCCCCCACCCCCACTCGA